GATAACATATTTCCTGTTCACACTTACCAAATGGGTTAGACCTTTAATCACGTTGTCATTTAATCATCAAAAACCTACTAAAAGGCTAGATGCACTTTCAGGGGCGCCGTCGTTGCCTGGCGATGGCCGCGGGCGCACGCGTCGAGGGGCCTTAGGTCGTCCCCGGCCGAGCAAAGGCCACCCATGAGCACGGCCGGTGCTGGTGGTTATCGCGCGCCGCCGCTCGTCGCCGGCTCCCACCCTGATGGCTGGAATTGATCGGCTCTGGCCTTCCCTCCCCTATGTTGTAAATGTATGTTTCAAGTGTTTTAAATGTTTTAGTGCTATGTTGCAAATGTTTTATGTAGATGTTGCAAAAGTATATCAGGATGTTGCATATGTTGCAGTAACTATACACATGTGTTACAAGCGTCTATTCCAAATGTTTCATCTGTTTTTCATATGTATGTTGTAAGTGTATTTATTTGGATGTTGCATACATTTCACACATATGTTGATAGTGTTTTATCTAGATGTTACATATATTTTGCAATAGCTTTTCAAGTGTTTTCAGGGTTTTTTTTGCAAGTGTTTCAGACACATGTTTCAAGTGTTTCATTTGTCTTCAGACGTATGTTGCAAATGTTTCATCTAAATGTTTTAAAAGTAGATCGGTGTTGCACATGTGCATGGCATGGCGCTCACGGTGGGGCGCAGACAGGACCTGACCTGCAAGAATGGCAAACTTGGATCCTACCTCCGGTGGCGCGCCTCTCCTCTCCTCTCCTTTCGCTCCCCCTCCTTCCCTTCCCTTCCCTCCATCTCGCCATGGCAGCTCGAGCTCAACTGGGGAAACAGAGGGGCACAGACGGCCCCGCGTGTGGGCGGGCGGCGTGGGCGGGGCAAGTTGTCCAGACGGTGGCACGGAATCCGAGCAGGCGGGGCGCACAGCACGAAACAGGAGCGGGAAATAGAGAGCAGCCGCGAACGTCCGGAGCTGCGGACACTGGCGTCCGTCCGGACGTCTTGGCGCTAGCACTGCCCATCCTTGATAGCAGAGTAGAAGCATGTGCGATTGTGTACATTCAGCAACTTCCAATAGGCAAAGTACATAAAAAAAATAGAAGTACGAATGTATAATCAACTTAGTATCCCAGTACAATAAGAAATAGAAGCTATGCAACAATTACAGATCGTTGTTTCAGCTAGAGTTAATGCAGTGGGAAACATATATACATATTTTTAACTGAGGCGTCCACAATAACATGGCACGCCATCCAGCTACTGACCTTAACAACTCAAGCTGCCTTCTTGCTCTTGTATTTGCTAGCACAGATGACATAAACAACCAGGTTCAGAAAACTGAGGCCAGCAATGAGCCAGAAGAAGTAATCAAGATGTCCTTCGTTCAAGTTGTCAGGAATCCATCCAGGGTTACCTCCCCTTGTAGTAAAGTATGCAACCATTGTCAAAATGAACGTGCTGAGATAGTTCCCGGAGGCAATAGTGAGAAGATTAAGTGCGCTGCAGACGCTCCTCATGGCGTCCGGTGACTGATTATAAAAGAACTCGATCGCTCCGATGAATGTGAACACCTCCGCTAGACCGATCAGGAAATACTGAGGGATTTGCCAGAATATGCTCACTGGGACTGGGATGTTCTGATCCACCAGGTGTGCTTCCCTGGCAACTGCTAGCCGCTTGATTTCAAGGACTGCAGCGACTGACATAGCTATGATGGAAATTACCAGGCCAATGCCCATCCTCTGCAACTCTGTAAAGCCCCTTCCGTTGCCAGTGAATCTCCTAGCTATTGGAACCATGATGTAATCGTACATCGGGACACATACAATGACGCTTAGGGTGTCAAAAGTAGATAATGACGCTGGAGGAAACTTGAATGAACCCAAGGATGGGTCAAGCACCATCCCTTGTTCCACAAACATTGTTGACATCTGAGCATATGCAACAGAAAACACGATTGTTGTTGCCCATATAGGGAACATCCTTACCAGTATCTTCAGTTCTTCCACCTGGGTGACAGTGCATATCCGCCAGGGATTGTTGAAGTCAGCCATTTTCACATCAGCTTTGGTAACCGTAGCAACCTTGTCTAAACATCTGAATCAAAAATCAGTTCAACTATGTTACGCACTTAGCTTCCACACAATATGGGAAAAGAAGGCGAACATCTATCACAAAACTAGTCACAAATGTTCTTGTATTAGGCAAAATAACAGAGAAAAAAATGGCTAGTATGTATGCTTAGAGCATCACCAAGAGTATCCTATTTTTTTCCTCCTAAAAACATGTAGTTTTGCAACCCCTAAAAAGATATTGGTAAGAAAAAAGAAGACTATCTCCAAGAGTTTTCATTAATCCACTCCTAAAACATAAAAGACAATTTTATATTAGGAATCTTATACTGTTTCTAAATTATTGTAACCACTTTTATATATTTTCTCGTACATTTGCATCGAACCATTTCCTACTTCTTATTCTTTTCCACACCCTTCCACCTTTAGATTGACTGACCGGCGACGGATACGCACCGCATCCGCGTGCCCGCTACTACGCAAAAGTTACGCATAACGGGGAGGATTTCCCAAGTGCCTAAATTTTAAGAGCATGGATTAGGAGTTGTTGGAGATGTGTTTTTTCTCATCTTGTAAAAACCAAAGATTAGGAAGGGAAATAGGATCCTCTTGAGATGCTCTTACAAGTTGCAATTTAGTATATATACCTAAATCCTGACCTGTAAAAATCAGAACTGATACGGCAACTAGTAAAAAAATACTATTTTCAGAAGTAACTAATTAAAATTTTGTTCTTGACTATGGCGCTCTGCTAGGTTATACTATAAATATATTATTTCAATATATTTCGTATCCTCTAATGGTAAGTAATTCCTCCAAAACTATACACCCAATGCACTAACCGTATGTGCTGCAAGCATACACCGAATGACCACTCTCTGATAGTCTGACGCACTAAACATGTGTTGCAAGTATATACTGAATGGCATACCAGGCTCATAAGCCTAGGTGGATCAGAAGATGTCCAATTATCAGTAAGCAGAGACGACATCAAAATCATTTTGCCATTCTTGTCAGTATATGAGGTCTATTTCTGCATGAGGTTGATTTTTCTCCAAGAGTAATTTTCTGATTTGTTTATGTTATAATACACAGCAGATGTGTTTTCAAGAACATGGTCAATCGCAAAGGTAAATATGCTGATTTAATGAAAGAATCCGAACATTGAAGTATGTCTAATTGAGTATCTGATTCAAGCACAAAGTAAGAGACGCTATATCTGTCAGGCTTAATGCTTTCTTTATTTCTGAACGAATTCTTGTTCATGGGCAGATACCGAGCGCTTCCTATGCAAAGAACTTTGTTCTGTACTACAAGCGTCACAATGACAACTACTACTATTCTTTACTAAGGAATAATTATTTTGCCATTTCAGAAGTGTGGCAATTAATCATATTCTCATCTTTACCCCATACAGCTTCACAATCTATCTTAGTTTGCAGCTGCTTCTATTTTCATCTGATTAAGAGCGCATACCTGAGTTCATCTGTATGCTCTAATTGCCGACTCCCCTCAATTGTTGATGCCCCATCAGGTAGCTCATACAAGAGAGAGCTGTCCTCTGGGACAGGCACATTCCACTTGCGCAAAGAGGCAACAATCACCTGGCATACTCGTGTAATAGGACTACCTCCAGGTTTTTGGAACCTGTAAAGTGATGTGCCAGAGAAGAAGCTTATGATTGCCACCACCATGAATACAGTCGGAATGCCAAAGCCCAGTCCCCATCCTACATTGTCTTGCACCCAAACCAGAAAGGTGCTTGATATGAGACCACCAATGTTTGTTGAAAAATAGAACCAATTAAAGAAAGAACCCTTCTGAATCGGCTCAGCTGGATCTGTATCATCAAATTGATCCGCTCCAAAGGATGAGACGCACGGCTTAATTCCACCAGTACCCAGGGCAATCAGATAAAGGCCAAGAAAAAAGACAGTATACTGAAAAGGGCTTGCTGGTGGGCAAACGGATCCTTCACAGGATGGAGGCATGAGCATAGGAACTGATGCTGAAAGAGTCAGTATTGACATCCCCTATAAAATTAAAAGATGATGTCAAGTTAAATAATATCAAACTAACAGGGTTATTCCAGGATTAGTTGATTGTAGCACTATGTATATGGGCTAAACATGAATTAAGCAAAAGCCCGTATTCTACTACAAAGAATTTGAGGGCCTATTCATTAGTCAAAAAAGGAACGAATTACTCGCATGTCCCTTTACAACAGTGTTACCATGGCACTTCAGAGCAAAGATGACTTATGATGAAAGCCTCCTTTGGCACGGCTCATCCAAAACGGCTTCACCGGTGAAGCCAAAGCCGGTGAAGCCAGAAAAACTGGTTTTTCGCGGCTTCTAGTTCATTTTAATCCTGACTTACAAAATTGCTTCACGCTACAGTGCCTCGATTTGCGCAAAATAGATAAAGCCGAACATTGGCGGATCCAGGGGGGGCTGCAACATCCCTCGTGAGCCTTAATTCCTCATTAAATTACTGTAGCATCAAGCATAAATCATCATTAAATCTTCATTATCAATCAACATGTCCATTACTTAGCCCCCTCCTTGATCCCATCCTGAATCCGCCACTGAAGCCGAAGCCGGCATAAGCCGTGCCAAAGAGACCCGAAGTATACTGTGGAGAATGTCGCAATTGTCCAATACCTCCCCCAGTATGCATCAGCCAGGATTGCTCCAATAAGCGGAGTCAAGTAGCAAGTTCCCTGCCATGTAGTCACATTGCTAGCAGCAGAGGCATTGCCAGCATGTAGCTTTTTTGTCAAGTAAGTAACAAGGTTCGTGGAGATGCCATAATAGGCCAGTCGTTCACAGCATTCATTACCTAGATTGACCTTAATAGTTAGTTGCAGGTTATGGGGGATTAAATTGGAAGAGCACACGTAGTGAATTTACTCTGGACACTTACCTAATATGAATGGACATGCCTTCCATCTACCAGTTCTTTCCTTGACAACAGGATTTCCAGAAAAGTCAACTGATCCATCTCCAGTGTATACTAGTTGGTTGGATTCCTGGAACCAATAAGATTATGTTATTGCTCTGTTAAACACATAGCACAGGTACTAACAGACAAGAGCACTTTGACTATGTATGCAAATCATCATACATTATTGCACAGGCTTGGACTAAATTAAGACAGTAGCCACTATGGCTTTCTACATTGATTCAGGAGTCAAATGCACCGGAGGTCCATTAACTTACGTAGGGGTTTAGGTTAGGTCCATCAACTCTTAAAGTTGATTTCTAGGTCCATAAACTTTTTAAGCCGTTTACCATAGGTCCAAACTAGTCCACGTTTGCATCTAGCAGTGACATGGCATGCTGACTGTACAACTCCCAAATGAGGCATTTCATCGAGCAAGTCATAGATGTGAGAGAAGTAGCATGGTCACCAGCGCCGCAGCCGCTGCACGCGCCCCTTCCCCCACGCCGTCACCCACGTGTCGGCGTGCGTCCATGCCCCGTGCATGTGTCAGGACCCAGACACAGAGAAGTGAAGATGGCGCCCTAAAGCTTTACGTGTTTGCTAGGGCAAAGCATAGTATTACTTTATGATGTATCATGTTCCCTTACATGTGGGCCATAGGCCAGACTAAGTATTAAACCCTGCTGTAAGCCGTTTGGGCATGACTATTGCTTATCTGAAAAACAGAATCGGATCGAGGACAGGTTCCTCCTCCGTTCCCCATCTCTGTGTATCGCTCTCGATCTCCTCACGGCGACGGCGACCTCGACGGCGGCCAAGGGGCGTGACAGGTGGTATCGGAGACCAACTTTCCTCGGCGTGGGCGGCGGATCTCACCGATCTCGCTCCGACACTAGTTATCGGCTCCTCGGTTGCTGGACAACACGACGGTGGCGGATCTCACGTTCTGGCGCGGCGACGACAACCCTCCATCCTTCATCACCTTCAGGTAGTGCTTCCCGTTCCCGTCTTGCCTTGATATACAGCTCATAATTCCGGGTAGGCAGATCGATCTTCGTCGAGCACCCTAGGTGTTCGATACGAGGTCTCAGAAGACCACCCTTTGGTTGAGCTGGGTCGGCAGCGGCTGCAGGGTCGCCTACTTCCACCACCACCACCATCCACCCACCAATCCACCAGCAACCCCACCACCACCCACAAATTCACTAGATCCACTACATCTTTGGCTCGGCACTCGACTGGGGTACTACTTCAACACTTACTTGGTTTAGGAGGCGCGAACCGTGGTGGGCAACACCCAATTTTGCTCCCTTATCCTCATTAGTAAGCAATCGGTCGAGCCCAGGGTTACGGGACAAGTACCCGTGTAAAATTCCGTAAGTTCACGTGCCGGTTGTTGTGCGGTGGTGAAGGCGGGGAAGTGTCCACACACTCGGGTTGCAGATCACGTCTCTGTGTAAAATTCCTTGGTGGTGCCTCACTTCTAGGTGTAGTCGGCGACGTGGTGTAGCAAGGTCACGGGGAGGTGTTTACCAAACCGATTGCTCCACTAGCTTCAAGTTCCTGTTACCAATACAATCACCACAGCTCCACCCAAACCATCGAAGCAAACCCAGTTCATACTCGATGCCATGTCGAAGAACTCGGATGATGACAAGGGCCGTTGGGAACAGGTGACGGAACACTTCGATCTCATTTTCCAGCAAATGAATGACATTGGATTGATCCAGCAGGATATCAAATGAGATCTCAATGCCACGAAGGATGATCAGAAGCTGATAGCTAAGAAGGTTCAGGCTAATGGGCAGGCCGTTGCTAGTCTGACTTTGCGTCACATGGAGAAAGAAGCTGTGTCTGACCACTCTGATGATGTTTCTGTTATTTTCGAGGAAGAAGAACATGACTTCCAGAATGTCTTTGCAACAAAGAAAAATGACTTCAAGCCAGGCTCTTCCAAGCAACCCAAACAACATGAGGACTCTCTACCTCATCACAGTTTGCCCAAGATACATTTTCTGAAATTTGATGGCTCCAATCCAAAGATATGATTTGATAACTGCATCAACTATTTCACCATCTACTCTATTCCTGAGAGGTTGAAGGTAACAGCTGCAACAATGCATTTGGAAGGCAATGCCTCCAAATGGTGGCAGGCATATAAGCAGAATCATGCTATACCTGACTGGAAGGCTTTCTGCCAAGTCATACAAGAGAAGTTTGGGGCTGATGATTACAGGCATGCAATTAATGAGTTGCTCCCCTCAAACAAACTGGGTCTGTGGAGGACTACACAACAGCTTTTCAGTTCTTGTAGTTTGACATTTCTATGCACAATTGCCACTATGATGAACTCTTCTTTGCAACCACATATGTCCAAGGGTTGCTGCGGAACCTCATGTCCCTGTTACAGTGGAAAGGGCATAAGTGATTGCTAGAATTAAGCAGAGAACACTAGAGAGAAACAAGATCAAATACAACAGAACTGTCCCACCTCAGAAGCATGCTGTCAACAAAGGGGACACTCCCCAACAACAGCCTAACTACAATCTGCAGAGAATCCGACAGCTCAGGGATTATAGAAGGGCCAACAACCTATGTTTTGCTTGTGGTGAGAAATATGAGCCCGATCATCAGGAACACTGCCCTAAGCGCCAGAAGGCTCAAGTCCATGCATTGGTTATCAATGACCTGGACAACAATAAAGAGGAAATCACAGAAGACCACTTGAATCAATTGGCTGTGGAAGATGCTCTAACTGAGGACTTCGGTCACTTATCATTACATGCCTTTTCCAGTGCAGATTCAGAAATGCTATCAAGCTGAAAACTCTGGTTAAAGACAAGGTGATGCTCATTCTCGTGGACTCAGGGAGTTCTCATAGTTTTGTTAGTACCAATTTTGTCAAACTGGCAAATATCCCAACAGTCCCTATGCCACCCAATAAAGTCAAATTAGCTGATGGTCACTGGTTACAAACTGCAGCTCAGGTGCCACAACTTCAGTGGTATATTCAAGGCCACACCTTAACTAGTGACATGATTGTACTGGACATGGCACCATATGATGCCATTCTTGGCTATGACTGGCTCCGGAGCAATAGTCCTATGACTTGTAATTGGAACACGAAATCTCTGGCATTTATCCACAAAGGGCAGCAGATCACATTACAAGGCTTATTACCACCTCCACTCAAAGCAACCCCAATCTCAGCAACCAAACTGTACAACTCTACCAAGGGAAATGATGCTTGGGCTTTTGCAATAGTCACTGCACAAGAAACTGCTCTACCTGATCTAGAAATTATTTCTTCCCAAGTCCCAGACTGTATTAAGAAAGTTTTGGATCAGCATCAATAGGTCTTTCAAGATCCACAGACACTGCCACCAGCAAGAAGTTATGACCATGCTATTCCATTAGTCCCTGGAGCAGTACCTATGAATGCTAGACCATATCATTATTCTCAGAAGAGCAAGTGAAGCAACTGCTGCAAAATGGTTTTATTACACACAATCACAGTCCTTTTGCTTCTCTTGTACTCCTAGTTAAGAAAAAGGATGGCACATGGCGTTTCTGTGTAGATTACAGAAAGTTGAATGATCTCACAATCAAGAATAGGTTTCTCTTCCCATCATAGAAAAAATCCTAGACGAACTCTCTAGATCAAGATTTTTCACCAAATTAGACATGAAATCAGGTTATCATCAGATCAGGATGCTACCTGAAGATGAATATAAGACTGCTTTCAAAACCCATGATGGCCACTATCAATTCAAAGTGATGCCATTTGGGCTTACTAATGCCCCTGCCACATTTCAATGTGTGATGAATCAAATCTTGCAACCATTCCTGAGAAAGTTTGTTTTGGTCTTTCTAGATGATATCTTGATCTACAGCAATTCCCTAAAAGAACACAACACTCATCTGCAAATGGTTCTTCAGACACTGAAAGACAACAAACTTTACCTCAAGCAGTCCAAATGCTCTTTTGCTCAGCCTCAATTGGAATATTTGGGACATATTATCTCTTCATGAGGGGTGGCTACTAATCCAAGTAAGATTTCAGCAATGTTACATTGGCCCAAACCAACAACATTCACTGAGTTAAGAGCATTTCTAGGCTTAACTGGGTACTACAGGAAATTTGTTAAAGGCTATGGCATCCTTGCTAAACCCCTAACCAACTTGTTAAGATCCAAGCACTTTCAGTGGTCCTCACATGCTCAGCAGGCTTTTGATAACCTCAAACAAGCCATGACCACAACACCAGTGTTGGCCTTACCAAATTTCAATGCACAGTTCACAGTAGAAACTGATGCTTGTGGAGATGGAATTGGTGCAGTTCTGATGCAATCTGGGCAGCCAATTGCTTTCTTAAGTAAAGCATTAGGGGAGAAACACAAGTCACTATATATCTATGAGAAAGAATTCCTTGCCCTGATCATGGCAGTGGAGAAATGGAAACATTATCTCCAAAGACAAGAATTTGTAATCCTCACTAACCACAAATCCCTGTCTTACCTCAGTGAGCAGAATTTACACTGAGAGATGCAAAGAAAAGCAATGACACGGTTGATGGGACTCCAATTTAAGATTGTGTATAGAAAAGGTAAAGAGAATTTAGTGGCTGATGCACTATCCAGATTGCAACATCTCAACAGTCTCCAAGCTGTATCCATGGTGAAATATGACTGGATCCAGGAAGTGCTCAACACATATACCACTGACTCTAAGCTCAAGATCTGTTGAAGCAGTTAGCTGTTCAAAGTCCAAATTCAGCCGGCTACTCTTTAGACAATGGTCTCATCAGATACAAGTCCAAGATTTGGATAGGTAACAACTCGGCCGTATAGACAAAAATCATATCTGCCTTCCATGACAGTGCCCTTGGGGGTCATTCAGGCACAAGAGCTACCTATCAGCGTCTCAAGAACCATTTTGCCTGGAAAGGAATCAAACAAGCTGTGGAGGACTTTATCAAGCAGTACAGTATCTGCCAACAAGCCAAACACTCCAACAGCTTACCTGCTGGCCTGCTACAACCACTCCCAATTCCAGCAGGAGTGTGGATGGACATCTCCATGGATTTTGTGGAAGGGTTGCTAAAGTCCCAGGGCTACATTGTGATCATGGTAGTTGTGGACAGATTAAGCAAGTATGCACACTTTGTGCCAGTCAAGCATCCCTATACTGCTGCATCAATAGCACAGTTATTCATGGACCACATTGTGAAATTACATGGCCTACCCCATTCCATAGTCAGTGATCGAGACACTATATTTGTCAGGACCCCAGACACAGAGAAGTGAAGATGGCGCCCAAAAGCTTTACGTGTTCGCTAGGGCAAAGCGTAGTATTACTTTATGATGTATCCTGTTCCCTTACATGTGGGCCATAGGCCAGACTAAATATTAAACCCTGCTGTAAGCCGTTTGGGCACGACTATTGCTTATCTGAAAAACAGAATCGGATCGAGGACAGGTTCCTCCTCCGTTCCCCATCTCTGTGTATCGCTCTCGATCTTCTCACGTCGACGGCGACCTCGCCGGCGGCCAAGGGGCGTGATAGCATGCGGTCCCATCTCTGTGTATCGCTCTCGATCTCCTCACGTCGACGGCGACCTCACCGGCGGCCAAGGGGTGATTGCCGGATTGCCGGCTGCCGCTCACGAATAGCGACGCGTTGGCAGTTGGCCTCATCCTTGGCTCTCTTGATACTCGGCTTCACATCGTCGACCACTCGAGCTCCTTCTTGGTCTTCTCCAGCATGGACCGGTTGTTCACCTTTGGCTTCCTTCGACGACGCAAGTGAACAGCTCGGCCCAGTGTTCCTTTAACTGCGCAAGTAGAACAGCTCTGGGGAAGAAGGGTCGGGGACACGTGACAGGTGACACACCATGGAGCGCGTGCTGGGAGAGGGCGACAGCGGCATCACTGCCGTCACGGTGTCCGTGGAGGCCCGCATGGTGTACGTCAGCTCCTCCGACGGCGTCGTCACGCACTGGCAGTGGCGCCGGGGCTCCTTCGACGGATGCCGATCACCCGTGCCTCACCGTGCTGACGGTGACGGACCACAGGTGACCACCTGTCAAGTGCGTCGCCATGGACGAGCAGGACGATGCCGACGGCGCCCCTCGCCGGTGGGTCGTGTACATCGACAGCCTCGACAGGTCCGTCAAGGTGCGGCGCGTGTCCGACTCAGACGTCGGCATCGCGCCCGACCTGACGACGACCCCCGCACGCTACTGGAAGCGCTCGCCATCGTCGTCGCTGCCGCCGCGCTCGTGGGCGCCCTACACGGTGACGCCGAATCCGAAGCACATGGGCGTGGCACGAGTGACTGGGCACAGCGGGTTCCAGCCTCCTGCGACCGCGTGGTGGCCTCCCGCGTCGCCGTGACCGCGTCGTCCGCGGCGGCCGCATGAAGGCAAGGGCGTGCGGAAGCGGCATGCGATGATGCTGATGCTGATGCTGAACCAGAGCAGCCGAGCAGGCGGATGGGGGTACGGGGTAGATGTGGGTGCTTGTCGGCGGTGGCGTGCAGCAAGTGTTGCACAGCTCGTGGGGGTTGCAGCCGGCGTGCGCCGGAGCAAGGTTGAGCGCGGGCGATGGCGCGGGGGCAAGGGCGCACGCTGTCGGTGCTGCTTTCTCTCGCGTCCATGGCATGCTCGATGAAACGGTTCAGCTGAGAGTTGCCCAGTCACATGCCATGTCACAGCTAGACGCACACATGGATTAGTATGGACATGTGGTGAACGACTTCTTCGTTAATGGTTCTCCAGTGCATTTAGTTGTAAGTTCAGGTTTTAGTTTCAACACTCATGTGTAAATAAGGAAGCAATTACAGCTATATGCTGGCACTAGCAATATGCCCATCAGCGAAATGCCTGGAACACAAGGTGCTTTTGAACGCGGCCATGAGTTGAAAGAATCAACGAGATAAATTGTTTAGGCTCAGCTATGTGTACCAAGCAAGCTATCCGAAATAAAGTGAAGAAAAAGATTAAAAGCTTCTAATTAACACTGCAATTGCCAATTGCAACCCAGAGAAAAGGAAAAGGAGTAGGGTCCTTAAAATTAAAAATATGTTACGCCTACAATCATGAAAGAACCTATGGTCTAGTAGTAGGGTAGTCCAGTAGGACGCGAACCCTGATGAACCCTCGTGTCACACCTTTTTTCTATAAAAAGCAGGATACACGCATGCGTGCACGTTCAGTGGTACTGCGCGTTTCTCGCGCACTAGAGGTCAATCACCTTCCAATCTCTTCTTTTACGTGTGTACGGACGCGTATATGTGTACGCGTGGTATGAGTATGGATTATATGGTTTGTGTGCGTCCAAGTTATACTCGATAAAAAAAATCTACTCATGACTGCACGGCCATAAGTATAGTAAAGCACAAGAAATACGCTTACGCCCAAGTCATCCAGCCAAAGTAACAACAAATACTGAAATCTCGACGTAGTGCTGGTGCCAAGCTATCATTAGGAATCGTGTAACTACTAGATCAATCAGGTAGTTGACCTTAAATTCTTCCAAATCCGGTGCGCTAATAAGGCATGCTTCTTTCCTAAAATAAGCTACCAGTCTGACCAAAACATTCAACAAACCTAAACACAAGTACACAAAGCCTCTCTCAGTAAGGAGGAAAGGCCAGCCGAAGGGAGAGTGGAAGTGCTCAAGTCAACTAACCTCCAGAGCGAGGAGCCCTTGCTCCTCCAGGGCGGGAGCCTCCACGCGCTCGGCGCCGGCCATGGACCGATCCCGGTGAAGACGCGGCAGGGGCAAAGAAGCCAAACACTGCACGCCTGATCGGAGCAGTTTTTTCTTTTATATATCCCAATTTTGGCGGAGAGAATGACTATTTGACATACTCGCAGTATATTCAGTGGGTTCGCAGACTTGTTACTTTCAACATTAGTTTCACAGATTTGTCATATAGTACTACTGTACTAGTCTAGTTAGTCACTGTCACCTTGTTTTTCATGCCATATTCCATATTTTCTCTTTACTTCTATTTTCTTTTCTTTTTTCCATTTTTTTACTAAAGGAGACCTTTTTTCATCTTTTCTTTACTGCATCCACCTGGAACTTTGGGCTTAAATTTCAATCTGCTGTTGACAGGAAGCGTCAACCGTCCATAGCTGCGAAAGGGCTGGTAGCCAACGCCTCCTCGTATGAGCGAATATTTCAATATTTAATAGCGTTGTGCTTTCAGTGATACGGAGACGTTCCTCTCGACAGCGAGGCACCTGACTTTGTCAATCTCAAGAATTCGCCGGCCTAGTCTTCAAAGATGCTCGTAGGAATAGAGTTTACGTGTGTGCGTTCATAGGGGTGAGTATGAGTGCATTCTGACTATCTGAGTTGTAATGTGTAATCGCAAAAAAAACATCCACAACTACTTAGGGCGTGTTTAGCTGATTTCTTACAGCCTCGACTTCTTTTACGTCTCATGTCATAGTAGCATTGTTCAGCCATTTCTCTCCTGCTAAAATGAACATGGAGTCGGCACTAGGCATGATCTCTTTTCGTTTGTATAGTTTGAGTATTTGATATGTACTGTCTCTATTCTGAATTATAAATTTTTTTGACTTTTCTAGATACATTGTTAATGTGTATCTAGATGCATAGAAAAAACTGTGTATCTAGCAAAGCTAAAATATCTTATAATTTTAAATGGATAGAATATTAGTTATTACTACTTGAACATAAACATCACAGACAAAACACATAAAAACGTACATTAGATGCCATGTAACATCACCACACATCACGGCCAGCCACCAAGCCTCCCTGCTTCCATGCCATAATGCATATACAAAGTATCCAAAAAGTTTGGAGAGTGCATTGCACCCTGCCTCACGAAAGTTGAGTACTCGAAGATATAGCAACATGTCTTACAGCCAGTTGAAGATCCAGGGAATTATCCAATCTCGGACATGCCAAGACCACTGCCCTAATAACTTATGTCAAGATACCTGGGAGGCTCAACACCTAGAGAAGACGGAAGAAAGGATAAGAACCAAAAAGAACAGGGCTGAGTAGAGTTGGCATCGAGGTGTAGGTTATGCCACAAAAGAGATACAGATGCAAAAGAGTGCCCAAAAAATCATGGAGCTGGCAACAAGAAAAATGCTCACATCAAAAGAGATAGGACTACAAAGAGAGAATACAGAGACTTCAACTCCTACCGGAACAAATCACAAGGGAAATACAAGAGCAAACAGGAGAAGAGTTGCTCCAATGGTAAGTTCTCCCCCTTAGAGCGTCTCCCAGAGTATTTCTAAGCTCACTCTCTAAATCATCATTTGGAGAGTCATTTGCATAAAAAACAATTTCTATATCTTTCTACTCTCCAACATTTTTTCTATATCTTGTGTGCACTCTAGAGAGTTACTCTCGTTTTCTATCTTTAGATAGCGAGAAATCCAGAATAGAAGATGCACTACTGGAAACAGAGACTTTGCCGAGTGCAAAATTCTTTGCCGAGTGTCAAAAATCGGGCACTCGGCAAAGACATTCTTTGCCGAGTGCTGCACTCGGCAAAGAATTGCACTCGGCAAACACGGGCACTCGGCAAAGGACTTCTTTGCCGAGCGCCAGACTCTCGGCAAAATCTCAACACTCGGCATAGGCTGCCCGTGAAAACGGCGTCCGGTCACGACCTTCTTTGCCGAGTGCCGGATCAGGGAGGCACTCGGCAAAGATTTGTTTTTTTTAAATTTCTTTGCCGAGTGCCCCAGATCTGGCACTCGGCAAAGATTTTATTTTTTTTAAAAATTCTTTGCCGAGCGTCTCAGATCTGGCGCTCGGCAAAGAAATTTTTTTATTTTTAAAATACTTTGCCGAGTGCCCCTGGGACGGCACTCAGCAAAGATTTAATTTTTTTTATTATTTCTTTGCCGAGTGCTCCTATGAATGCACTCGGCAAAGAGGAAATTTTTTTAAAAAAATTAAAACATTCTTTGCCGAGTGCCTGATGGCTGACACTCGGCAAAGACACCCTTTGCTGAGTGCTATGCCTCGACACTCGGCAAAGTTTTTTTTTGTTTTTTTGTTTTTGGCCTCCAATTTTTTTGTGCAGCCCTTTTAAAGCACCAGAAACTCCTAGTTACAATTTGAGGATTTTTTGTGGTTTTTTGTTATATTTAGTTACTTTATTTCGTTTACTTAAATTTTTTCAGAAATTAGAAATTTGAACTGCATGTGGTACGAATAATAGAGTTTAATGATTCAAAAATTGATAGTCATGTTAGTAAGTGTTGTGAGAGGCCGTATCCAGGAACGGACCCGAAATTTCGGACATCTTGTTCACGAAACATGTCCGTGAAATTGCGTGTGAAGTGTTTTTAAATTCTATAAAAAGCAAACAAAGTCCGAAAATCATGAAACTTGTTGAGATATCGTGATATCATATGTGGAGGCTATGATAAAAATTTTAGAAGATTTCGTGCACGTTGTCACGTACGATGCTTACAAACCAGACATCCTCTGCCGCCCTTCGCCTTGGCCGGCTTCTTTCCCCGGCCACGGCCCGCTGCTCAAGACGCGCCGCCAGAGGTCAAGTCGCTGCGTCCTCGGGCCGGTCCTTCTTCACCAGTGCGTGCCCACTACTCAGCATGCAGGCCGGCCATGCGCCAGTCTCTCTCGGTCGGCCCTTCCCCGATCACGCCCATGGATCGCCCAGCCTGACGCCGCCTGCGGTGCTCGACCCGATCCCCGACTCTCACTTGACCCAGACGCCGCCACCGCCTTGAGTCGCCCGTCAGGTATGCCTTCTCACTTATTATTGTCGAGGTAGTGGTAGTAGTAGTAGTACAACTAATGGTAGTAGTTGTAGCAATAGTGGTAGTAGTAGAAGAACCAATGGTAGTAGTAGTAGCAATAGTGAAAATAGTAGTACAAGTAGTGGTACTACTTGGATATATTCTTCTGCATGGATTGATATCCAAACTACAT